ATTATTGCTATTCTTATAACTCAGATCTGGAGCTAAGCAAGCCTGGGTTATTTTAGGTGGTTCACTAAAATGTTGGGAACGCTCCTTGGCACCTTCCAGAAGTCTACATTTGCGTTTCAAATCTGTCCAGGACTCTATGGGATTCAAAGCTAATTGGGTAGTGTAAAAAGGTCTAATATTAAAAAGAACAATATTCAATTTCTCTTCCTCTGAGAGCGACTTTGACAACCGAGTAAAATAGTTCTGCATAATGCTAAGATAATTCACTATGCTTTCATCGGAACCCTGAGTGCGAGACCGGATCTCTTGTAATAAACGATGATCATAATCTGATGGTAAATATTCATCAAGAAGCAAGGTTTTCAACCCTAACCAGCTATGTACTTCGGATTGCACCCCACGATACCAACAAAGAGCCTCATCTGTAAACAATTCAGCTGCAGAATTGAACAATTTACCATCTGTTACACCACGAGACAAACATAACTCCTCTAAACGCTGCAAGAATGCCTTTACACAGGTTTTCCCATTAAACCGTATGTTTAGTTTATGTACGGCAGCACCAGAATCAGGGGAAGCATTCCCAGTGCGTTCAGAAGCAGCATGGACTCTGCTATTCTCTTCCGGAGGCACCTGAGTTAAACTACTCTTAAAATGGTGCATAATGTTATCTAACTTAACCAGAAACTTGTCCAGACGTTCTTGCAGCGCCTCCAATTGAGAGGCGATGCTGTCATCATTATCAGAATCTAAGCGACTAAGTCTATGAAACAAGTGATGTGCTAATGATTGTATTCTGTTCAGTGCTTTAAGGGAACTAGCTCTAGAAGAAGTTTGAGAAGTAAGATCATCTAAACTGTCTAATTTCTCCCTAATAATATCCAACTCTGATTCTATCTCTACTTCACAAGTTAATATTTCATCAGAAGGTAAATCTTTATTTAAAGCACGCACTTGTGCCTTTAAAGCAGGCACCCCGTCCACAGGCTTCGCACCCCTAATTCTGACTTCATATTCCAACTCATCTTTGTGTAACAAGTTAAAAGTGATTGGCCTCTGTTCCATTTTGTAAGTTAAAATTACTCCTAGTGTGGCAAAATAAAGAAATGTTCACTAACAAAGTGTAATTAATATGATAATAAAATCACCTACCTGTTAAGATATATCAGTTAAAATAGTAGTGTTGTAACAAGTGTGGTTTCACACCTGAGGGTTGAAAATTGTTAGGTTCTAAAGGATTAGGTTTCTCAATGTTAGGTTTCTTCTTGTTAGGTTCAAAAAAGTGAGGTTGGTGAACTAACCTACCAAAAATCAGTACACAAGAGGGTTTTTTTTTTTTTCCTTTAAATAAGGGTATAAAAAAGTAAATATGACTTTTTTGATTGTAAATTTTGAGCCAATATCGATCATCCGATGTTACAAATTATTATGTTTACAACACAGTATAACCAGATAAACAAATCTTTGGATATAAGCCAAATAATTCAGAGAAAAAAGAAAAATTAAAAAAAAAAAGAAAAATCACCAATATCGATCAACCTTTTTTGAGCAATTAATGACCAAAAAAAAGAGCAAAGTAAATGCTACAAAGCCTTGTTTCCACTTGTTCGGGCGCCACATGTGATGTTAAATTCCCCTCCACAGCTCTTTACTAGCTTACTCAGAGCACCGGGGGAACAATAAAAGAAAACCAAAAAATTAAGATAATGTTATAAGTATATTTTATCCACTTTAGATACCAAAGCATAGGAATTCAGTAGTTTTAAGTTATTGCTTATATAAATCAACAAGTCCAACTATGTTTATTATTTATATAATAACTATGTTTCACTAATTATAAATATCTAGGCTGAATACAGTAGTTCAAAGTTAATGTGTATATAAACCAACAAGTTGTCAGGAAAGGTTATAATTATAAGAATATCAGACATTCATAACACTTTACCATGTACTTACAATATAATACTTACTAATATTTTTTTTTATCCACAAATACCACATAGACTAGACTGAATAAGCTATTGAGTGGATTTCAGAGGTTCTACGGCTCGTTTGATCGATATTGGTGACAAACTTAGTTAATTCTAGTTCTCAGTGAGATAACCAGCTATATAGATATATGTAAATATATGGAAATGGGTAAGTCGGGGTCCAACCTCGCCTGTTGTTTCCTTTTCACGTTCACCCGGGGTTAGTAGAGAAATACCTTGATTATGATAGGTTAAGCTGTGTATAATCTGTCTGCTGTTCGGCCGGGTTACATAAAACCGGAGAGCGGCTGGCAAATAAACTCCCGCGCCCCTTCTGGTCCGTGCACAGAACAAAAGTCTCCTTGTTAGTCCTCCAGTATTTCTTGAGGGGAACGTACAAGCCTGAAGTTCACATTGAAAAAAAAATGATCAGATATGGGGAAAATACATAGATTACCACATCTGTGGTGGGTGAGGGAGTGAGGGATATTCACGGTCAATGTTTACACTTTAAAATTTGAATCAATACAGGACTGGGGGCCCGTCCCACCCGGTTTGAAGAAAATCAATTCCACGTTCACTAACTTGACAAGAATGATGAGGTATATTCGATGACAAGAATCACTATATTGTGCATAATGCAGTTCAATTAGTGCTAGGAGAATAAATATGAGATCAGATGATAGCTTACCGTTCGAAATATGAAACTATCCGTAAGTATTTTGTTTCCTATCACAAGTTACCGCCTTATTATTGCAATCGCCTCGCGAAGGTTCGTGTTCGTCCACCTACGATACAGAATATCAACAGAAAGGTTATTTTCACAGCCCAAACTTGCAAATTATGTAGGAAAAAGAGCCACTCCAATATACCTACGAAACTCAGTTCGGTTAGCGACTCCGCGCTTTTTCCGCCAATATCCTTCGGGATATAAACTTTTCGGATCTATCTCACGACTTCGACGACAATACTATGCCGTTTATTATACTTTGGGCAGAAGAAAAGATGAAAAGTTAACTGTACCACAAACAGATTGTGAAATTTTAAAAGTTGTTTTGACAATTGCTCATAGATGATAGACGAATCGTCCACTCCCAAACATGTGTCTATGATTTGTTTCCCACTTCAACTGAAGGCAAAGGCCACAGTCAAACAGACAGCCGCCGCATTCGAGACGAACCGAAGAATAAACTCAAAACTATATACCTACGCTCGCCGTAAGCTGAGGAAAAGGAATACCTACCCAAATCAGCGAGGAAATTCAATTTCGAGTAAAATTCAAAATCGATTAAAAAACAGCACCCGATAAGGAGGACTCAAATCGATCTGGGAAAGACTATTCAAAATTCAACAACTGTCAAACTCCATCCATTCATCCACGCGCCCCCACAGAGATTTTCCGCCTGATTACTTTTTTTTTTTTTTTTTTTTTTTTTTTTTTATAAGTCTCAAGGCGAATATTTTAGTCGAATAGGAAAATCGACTCTTCCCTCAAGGCTACCAACCCAATCAATGAAGTTTGACAGCTACGCTGACGTAAGCGGTTCGCTATCATAGACAAAACAGCTGTCCTACGTGTGTCAGTGTCACGCTCTGTTTAAAAACACACACTACAACATCCAGATGCAATTACCTGTCCCAGATACATACCATTGTGTAAGCAGCAGCTCAGTTTTACCCCCTCCCCTACCCTTTTGAAAGCAACATATAAAATTATATTTTAGTCGAGAAGCATGCAGCTTTCTCACAACAACTAGGAATTGCACAACGCGGCATTTGTAATTTGTTTAATAAAAGCTTTAAAATTAATATAAGCTAATATGTATGTATTTGGCAGAAGTTTTGGGTCAAGCGATTAAAGCGCCCCTAGTGGGAAAATTTTGCAGATTTCTTGTCCATTGTTAAATTACTATGAAGTTGACGCGATAAAAAACGTGATATAATGTGTACTGTGGTGCTATGCTACGGGGGAAGGAACTAGTTTGTTCTTACGTCCGGTAGGGGCGCTGCGTTAGTTTTCATAGAAATTTTGGCGATGCGATAACATTACGGAGCTGTCAAAGTTCGCGCTTGAGCCTCTGAACATTCTCATATATAAGTCGATGTTTTTATGAAAACTGAAAATGTATTGCCAAACATTGATTGCAGATTTCATAGCAAAAATTAAGTGTTTCATACCACACTCAAATTTTTTTAATATATAGCTAGGTAGGCAAATGACTCTACCCCACCTAATGTTAAGTGCTGATAAAGTCCAAAAATATTTCTTCATGCCTCTCTTAAAGGACACCCAGATTGATTTAGATTGCTTCGAATGACAACTGAAAAAGTATGTACTATTTTTCATTGGTTTGACTCGTATACAGTGTGAGTGGACTGAAGTCGTTATTCCAGTCATTCAATATGCAGCTTGAACCGAAGTTCTCTAAGGATTTCTAACAAACTCACTCTTCACAAGCACAATATACAGAAAATGATGTTCTTTTTCTGCAGTATTCTGTAAGGTTATTTCCCAAAACGGACCTTCTATTTTTGTCCCACCACCCGGGCCCAGTGCGGATTGGAGGGTGTCAACGACTGCAGATGCAGCCGGGACCAATGGCATTACGTGCCTTCCAAAGTAAGGAGCTCGAGATCCCAGAATACGGTATTCGCTTATAACATTAAAGTCCCAAGCAATATCCAAGAGTTGACCATAAATAAATTCAAAGATAGTATAAAAAAAAACACTTATTAAAAAGCTTATTACAAACTGCTCCAATCATTCCAACAGGTAAATAAATCAAGATTGTATTGAAGTTGTAACAACATAATGATTTGTTAATGTTTTTACATTATACGTATTATACTTTTAAAGTTGTGGAGTTTCCTTTGCTCGGTTTAGTCTCCGCAGCTAAAAAAATTTTTCCAGTAACGAGTGTTGGAGAAAAAATTTTTTGGTCGATTCAAAATAGTTGTACTGTACTATACATCCAAATTGAATAAATATATATTGATTTCTGAATTTGTATGTATTTGTTGTATTCTCACCGGTTCTGGTAGAGATGCATGCAGCGCACTGTCGACGTGTGGCCGGCCAGCACCTTGAGGCACTGCCCACTGCGGGCGTTCCAAACGCGCAGGGTGCGGTCCGTTGACCCACTGATCACTAGGTCCCCCACCATCTGCGACGACCACACCCCACCCGAGTGACCCACCAGGGTGCGGAGGCACTGCCGATACGAAAACAATAGTTAAGAGGGTAGGCGGGCACTGTTTTTTCCATACAAACGTTCTCGCCTTATTACTTCCTGATTTTTATCACTAAAGAATTGATTTTCATACATAAAATATAATTTTACTCATTCTATGCCCCTATGTCTTTCTTATTTTCGATAAATTGTTTTTCAAAGAAACTAGGAGCCTTCGAAAAAGGCCCATTTGAATAAACAAATTTTTATCACCACTAAAGACGTCTAGTGTGGAGATTTTATAAGCATTTACAAAAAAAAAGCAAAACATAGAGGCACAGTATAACTTATTATTCTTATGTTTTTATTTCTAGACTAGAGGTCGCCTGCGACTTCGTCTGCGTTAACTTAGTTTCTTGAAAATCCCTCTGGAACCTAACATTTTTTCGGGATAAAAGTAGCCTATGTGTTAATCTGGGGTGTCAGCTAACTCCATACCAAATTTTATTAAAATCGCTCCAGCCGTTAAGAAGTGAAGAAGTAACAAACATACACACTCACACACTCACAAACTTTCGCCTTTATAATATTAGTGTGATATTTAAATCTAAAGAAAATTTTACTAGAAAAAAATCCACGCGGACCTGGCAGCAGACGGGACTCGACTACTTATTATTCATTTTGTAAATTTTTTTTTACAATTATCTATTTTTCGAGGAGGTAATCGTCGAGAAGTGAACCTCGAATTTAAAAAAAAAATTACACAATTTTCACACGGTGTATGCCAATGCGTGACAACAATAGTCAGGGCCGGATTTAGGATTTGTATGCTTGTTAACCCATCAAAATTTTGTTATCTTTTATCCTGTTGTGGAGGCCCAGGGCCACTTAGGATTTGCATGCTTGTTGACCCATCGAAATTTGTTATTTCTGCTGTTGTGGAGGCCCCTGGGCCACAGCCCCACCTGCCCTGCCTTAAATTCGGCCCTGACAATAGTATTTTTTCAAATACCCATTTCTCAAATGTCTCTCAGCTGGCGTCCGCTCTTAATGACTATGTTGGGATATTCATAAATCATGATCAAAAATGTATTTTAATGTCTTCACTGCTGAGACACAAGTCTTCTTACGAATAACAACATCAAAACATAAACCGACACCCGAGCTAGGTAGTTTCTGGTTGTTAATAACAGTAAATGCATTTGTGGCAAACGGTTTAAAGAGCTATCCGCTATCCGGACGAATGCACTGACCATTGCAGCTTAAGGCTAGGAAAATTTCGACGCGGCTAATAGGGCCGTGGTAGCATAATGGTCAGTGCATTCGCTCGGATAGCGAAAGATGCGGGTTCGAGTCCCGTCCGCTGCCTGGGTCCGCGTGGATTTTTTTCTAGTAAACTTTTCTTTAGATTTAAACATCTAGCAGTTGAATGCTTAAAAAATAAATAAAATCATAAATGAAATCTTATTTAAATATCTTTTTGAATAATTGATAAATGTTTTCCGTTCGGGACATCGGGAAACAATAAGGCAGAATTTTGTTCATTTAGGGTTGGCATTTTAGGCTCCACCAATCCCAAGCGTTTCGGGTCACGTGACAATAGGCAAGAAAATTATTATCTTTATCGTGGGTTTTTAGTAAAATTATGAATTAATTTTTCATGACCCCCGTGACCCCCTCCCCCCCCCTCTGGATCCGCCCTTGACTCCTGCCAATACTCATTCTAAATACAGATGCTTGACGACCTCCGTGGCCGAGTGGTTTGTACACCGGGTTTCATGGCTGTCGCCGACTCGAGAGGTCCCGGGTTCGAATCCCGGTGGTGGCAGATGTTTGTGTGATGAATACGAGCATTTGTACTCCAGTCATGGACGTTTAATATGTATTTCTATATAAATATACTTATATATGTAGTAGGATATGTATCCCATAACACGAGCCTTTACAGTGCTTACTTTGGGGCTAGGCTAATTGGTGTGAGTGTTGGAAATATTTATTTATTTATTACTTATTTATGCTAACAATGGGCACTTTATTTTTAATACTGTCAAATACCCTATTAAAAATTGTTGTACACTCACTTTGCCCGTGACCGCGGACCATATCTTCAGCGTGGTATCATCGCTGCCGCTGAGGATTCGATTCCCGTAGAACTGTAGACAGGTGATGACGTGCTCATCGTGCCCGCGCATGACGATGGGGCTGGTGACCGGCTTGTGTAGCCAGTTGTTCTCAATGAGGTAGTGCCTCATATAAGCCGCCTTCCATGGGCTGGCGCAGCGGGGCAAAGAGCGCGGCATCTTCTTGAGGGTTGTGATGCCGATGCGACGGCATTGCTCTTTCCATAGCAGATTGTCGTCCGCTAAGAACCTGGAGGTGGAAAGCAGAGTGTTCATTTGCACGATTCAAGTGAACTCTCCAGCAGAGACCTGAATGGAATGCGTTACGAGTGGAGTGAGGAGTGAGGACCGTTGAAGTTAAGCAACTTTCGCAGTGGTCGGTCATTGGATGGGTGACCAAAAATTTACTATGTCGAGCACCTCCGTGCTTCGGAAGGCACGTTTTCGTTTCGATTCCAAAAAACAAACACGCTTTTATAAATGCACGTAAAAACCAAAAACACGTAATGGATTGTTCAAGTTGTCTCTATTTCTGGACTGAAGTGTAAACTATGCGCTTTTAATTATAATTATAATATTTGATTGTTAAAGCGTGGGGCGCTTGAACAGAAAAGACTTTTTGTATAACTTGCTTGAGAAATGAACGCTAGCGCAACACGCTTTCAGTCCCTTTGAAAATTCTTAATTTACTCGGAAGTCCACTCGTTTTATTTATATCGCTGGGAATAATGGGACTCCAATGAAGTATTTCAAAGGTTTCTGGTTGCGTCAATAAGTTGGCCTTTATTTTGTACATTCGAGTACCTTTTCAATCGTAAAATTTATGAACCTAAATTTTAGGTTTTTGAAGTTATACTTCTTTAGGCGCGTTATGAAAAAATGATGAGAGTGAAATTTTAAGATGCGCGCGCATCACTGTAACACAAAATTTTAACAGCACGAAGTTGGTCGCTTTAACGACCAATTCATGCGTTACTTTTGTGTTTACCGCACATTAAGAAAATCTACCAACAAAATAGAAATAGAATCTCTATTTAGTGGGTGCTAACGACTGCATTGTGAAGGCCTATCAAAAGTATTTATTAATCTGGAACAACGGAACCAAAGCGCGATTCAGGAGATTACAGCGCCATCTCTTGACCATTGGTGTAGTAGAACCAAAAACCACATCTTTATTTTACTAGGTCGTTTGTTGGATAAATACGCAGAGCTTTTGCCCTTAGAGCCCTTAGACAGCAATACTTCCCCAAGATCTGATTGAGCTTCCATTAACCAAATTTAAATCTCGGGTTAAGAATACTCTTATGAATAAGGGATATTATTAAGTCAATGATTATCTAAATGATCGTAATGCATGGACATAATGTTTCTTGTAATTTGTTATTTGATGGGTATGAGTCAGTAATATGGTACCTATCTAATGCCGCTTCCTATATACTAACATAAAATTTATTGTAACTATATATCTATATCCTAAATAATGTAATGGAAGGTGACTTCAGAAGTATCTCTGAAGTCATTTTTCAACTCGACGACTCTGTATATATCAATACAGGGAGAAAAAAGCAGCCCTTGCTGAGTTTCTTGCCGGTTCTTCTCAGTACAAGGTCTCCCGCTGTAGTTTTGCGAACCGATGGCGTAGCTTCTTGACCTTCACAAGTGCTTGTAACAGCCTAGACTGAATAAATTAATTTTCATTTCATACTGCGAGATGCTTGCTGTTCAGCTATCCGACCCTCATGGCGTTCAATATGTCGGTGAATGTGAATGAAAAAAGTGGTTTGACCAGATGCCTAATAGGGATGATGACTAATTGTTTTTTCTTCGTTTATCAGGTAGATTATCAAAAAGTATTGGACGCGTATTTTTTCTTTTTTCACATAACATAAACATTGCAGAGGTATATTGATTTGAAAAGTCGCATGACGTCACGTTTGAGTGAAACGTGACGTCATGCGACACACTTATAAGTGAAAATTCACTCAAAAGTGACGTCACGAGCCCCTACTCCCAAACTGACGCGCTATAACTTTGTCATTTTTTGGTTGATTGCCCAAAGAAAAAATACGTGTCCATTATTTTTTGATCATCTAACTGACGGACTAAATAGAAATTCGTTTACTGTACCCCGTCATCACCCCTATTATACCGTTTTGTTGGCCAGCTCCTCACATGTAATAAATAGGCTAGCACTCACAATCTAGAACAAATACCTAACCAAAAGTAGGTAAGGTAAAAAAAACTGCATTTAAGAATAGATATAAAAGCATTGATTAATTGTCAGCCGCGACGTCGAATACAAAGAAATTGCAACAAAGGGCTGGCCAATCCGAAAAGGTATTCTTCCCCTTCTGATATGTGTACGAAACTATCATTGCCATTGTATAGATAGTCCAGGTATGACACTGGCCGCCATAGAATTATTCCCACGGCGTCGAAATTTAATTCCTGTGTATTGTGTCGATGTGTGTGAATGGAGGTGCATTAAAATGCGAACGTGTTTCCAACTACAATGTGTACTAGAGCACAGTTTAGAAAACATTAAAAATACTAGGAAAATGTGTCAAGGTATGGCTTGAGCATCTAAAACACACTTCTGGTTATTTGTCTTTTTTCGAATTTTGCTTATTAAATATTATAAACTAGCTGACCCAGCGAACTTCGTACAGCCTTAGTGTAGCTTTGATGCACTATTTTATTTTGTATAGCTGACCTATCTTATGTATGAGTACCTATTCAATTTGAACTGGAATCTATAATATCCTCCATATAAAAATGAATCCTTATTTCCCTGGTCTCGCCATACCTGAGGACTTTACTAATTTTTATTAAATAGAAAATAAAAAAAAAAAAAAATTAAAAAAAAAACCGTAAGAACCTTGTACAGAGTATTAGAAAACTACAAAAACAAAATCAGCCAAATCGGTCAAGCCGTTTTCATGTTATGTCGTGACAACGGAAAACGGGTTTCATTTTTATATATATAGATTATACCATTGCCAATGGTCCAACTGTACGGCGGACATCTAGCGACTTTTTAATCATTTGTAAATAAAAAACTGTTTCACCAAGTGTTACGATGAGACGTGAAGACAAATTACATTTCATCATCATCATCAGCCAATTAATGTCCCCACTGCTGGGGCACAGGCCTTCCCTATGGATGGAATAGGGAGATTGAGCCACGACCCACCACGCGGCGGTTTGGCGGGTGCTAACGACTGCAGATGCAGCCGGGACAAACGGCTTCACGTGCCTTCCGAAGCACGGAGGAGCTCGAGATAGTAAAATTTTGGTCACCCATCCAATGACTGACCACTGGGAAAGTTGCTTAACTTCAACAATCGCAGCCGAACGCGCTAACCAGTTGCGCCAAATTACATTTACCTCGATCAAATTCAGCATTTTTTGAAAAAGGTACTTATATGTCTGCCACACTAATATACAATAATTTAACGCCTCATCAGCGGTCACTTCCTGAATATAAGTTTGTAAGGTCCCTGAAGCTATGGTTATTATATAATCTCAATGAATATTTTAATAATAATGTTTTGTAAATATGACTATTGCATGCCCGATTAGGGTAACTGTTTATTTCAATTGTGTATTTTAACATCTAACTAGCAGTATCATTAAATGTAACAGTTTTGCAATAAAGAATTATTCTATCTCTTATCTAATAGACAAGTCCGTCCGTCCGTGGTGCTGTTTCAGCGGCCAAACCGTAAGAGATAGATAAAGAGAATGTTTAAGTTATAAGTTAAGAATAGTCTGATAAGACTGCAAACCGGATATGAGTAACGTAGCACTTCCGGTTTTCGAGAAATCACGTGATTTCTATTTCAAACGAAACCACACAAAATCTCCGAAGTTCTCAATTAATTAAATACATTTTTTTTGGTGAACATTTGGTTCACTGGTTTGCTAGTTCTATTCTATTCTATTACTCGTCAAATCATTTCTCATCAGCTCTTGAGCTCGTTACCTGCAGCAGTCCTTAGTTCCTGTCCTATTTGCGTTTCTAGTTAATTCCAATCTATATATATAAAACTCAAAGGTGACTGACTGACTGACTTAGTGATCTATCAACGCACAGCCCAAACCACTGGACGGATCGGGCTGAAATTCGTCATGCAGGTTTGGTTTGGTTATGACGTAGGCATCCGCTAAGAAAGGATTTTGATCAACTCTACCCCCAAGGAGATAAAATAGGGAATGAAAGTTTATACGAAACTTTGTCAATTTTAAACCGATCGGGCGGGGACTTTGCATAAGAGGTATAAAAATTCAATATCGTTTATTCAGTCTAGGCTGTTACAAGCACTTGTGAATGTCGAAAAGCTACGCCATCGGTTCGCAAAACTACGGCGGGAGACCTTGTACTGAGAAGAACCGGCAAGAAACTCAGCAAGGGCTGCTTTTTTGTCCCTGTTTTATTTCATACAGTGTCGTCCAATTCAAAGTGGACATCAAACTTGCAAACATGTGTTGAGGTCAACTTCCATCACATAATGTCAAATATGTAACAATAGACAATCAACGAATTTACTAACAATAAGTGCAAAGATAAGTCCCAAAATAGCAAGAAACAATTTTTAAAACAAAATGAACAAGTATATGAAACGGTTCTCTTCAAAACTCTTTCTAAGGCTGGGAGCCTTAGTTTTAATATAACTTTTGAAAAATTATCTACAGGTAAAATTACAACCAGGCCGTTTTATCATTCAAATATTGATTGACAGTATAATATCCTTTCTTAAGTAGACAATTCTTAATGTGTATTTTAAATTTATGAGGAGGCAAATCAAGGATATCAATAGGAATCTTATTATAGAAATGTATACCTATGTATAAGAAGAATCATAGATGAATGTCATTGCGTATAATACAAGCCTCAGAACAAAAACTGTAGTCTACACTTCAGCTCTACACCGAAGCGAAGCGAGGGCGGGCAGCTAGTAGGTCTTATCTATTAGACAAGCCCGTCCGTCCGTGCGTCTGTGGTGCTGTTTCAGCAGCCAAACCGTAAGAGATAGATAAAGAGAATATTTAAGTTATAAGTTAAGAATAGTCTGATAGGACTACAAACCGGATTTGAGTAACGTAGCACTTCCGGTTTTCAAGAAATCACGAATTTCAAACGAAACCACACAAAATCTCCGAAGTTCCCAATTTTTTTTTTAATTTTTTTTTTTTTTTTTTTTTAAATCAGGTTTTAGTGAACATTTGGTTCACTGGTTTGCTAGTAAACCTGTAATAGATACCAGTTGGTACTCACCTCCAGTAGCGGCAGGTCCGCGCGGCCCGAAGCAGGTCCCGCGGCTGAAGGTAGCCCAGCACTGTCAGCGCCAGCTCCTTGGGCAGCAGCGAGATGAAGTCCCGCTGGAACAGGGGCTCGATGGCCTCCATCATGTAGCGCACATGACTGGCTGTGCAGCGGCTGATTAGCGCGTCTATCGCCTGGCTCTTCTCACTGTTGGACCACGTTTGGAACCTGAAATGGCACTACTATTGAAACATTTTTTTTATTTTATTTTTTATTTATTTATTTTCATCAAAAATACAGTTAAACAAAAAACAACTTATTTCGCCAAACTGAAATGTCAGTTTGTTGGCGAATAATACGCTCTTTACATTTTTTTTTTCTTTCTATATGCATATATATATATATACACACATCAAAAGTGTCTAGGGATCAAGCATTTTTATGCGGATTTCTTGAGATTGAGATGTGGCTTTGTAATAAATTTATGATTTTATAAATTTATATGGATCCTTTTTGGTGCATTTCATAATTTGAATCAGGAACTGTGAATCAAATTCGAGTAAAAGATGAAAATCAGCTGTCAATATTTTCCCTATAAAAACATACAACGCATTGAAGACATTATTAGTGCTACTGTTTCCCTACTACTGATTAAAACCAACGTTATTATGGAGCGGCGACGTCATTTAAGCAGGGAAGAAATGCTCAGAGCCGTGGGAATGATAGAAGCTGGTTCCCGGCAACGTACTGTGGCTTTAGCTCTGAATACAAGTCAGAGTGTTATCAGTCGACTTTGGACACGATACCGAAGCACTGGTACCGTGGCTGAGCGCCATGGAGGACGGTATCGCTGCACCACACGGAGACAAGACCGATACATTCAAATCTTAACTCGAAGAGCTCCAACAATAACCGCCATGATGTTAGCCGTGAGGCTTCATCACTCTTCAGGGAACTTAATTAGCGACCAAACAGTCAGAAACCGCTTGCATGAAGTGAACCTTCATTCCCGAAGACCGCTACGGGTACCACCTATAGCAATGCACAATCGTAGGATTCGATATCAATGGGCTCTTGAACACAGAAATTGGGCAGAAGAACAATGGCGTTTCGTGTGCTTTTCTGATGAGTCTCGTTTTGGTATGAGACCGGATACAAGACGTATACGACACTGGAGAACCCCTGGACGCCAACAGCGATTAAAATCCTGCCAGGAAGTCCATCCTTATAGTGGTGGAACCATCATGGTATGGGCGGGTATTTGGATCGGCGGAAGAACTGAGTTGATTTGGATCAGAGGCAACCTCAACGCTCAAATTTATGCTGAGACGATTGTATCAGACGTCATCGTTCCTCTACAAGTGCAAATCGGTCCCTTATTTCAGTTAATGCATGATAATGCACGACCGCACACCGCAAGAGTTGTAACACAGACTCTCGCCGCAGCTAACATCAATGTCCTGCCCTGGCCTGCTCAGTCGCCAGACTTGAACCCGATTGAGCATGCATGGGATATGCTACAGAGAAGAGCTCTGCCGAATATGGAGGGTATCCAGTCGCAAGAAGACCTTTTTTGTTGTTGCAACGAACATGGGCGGCCATTCCACAGCGTGATTTGGATGAACTCATTTTGAGTATGCCAAACCGATGTTCTTGTGTTGTTAGTGTTCGCGGTAGAAATACGGATTATTAATTGTTTAAGTTACCCAATAAAATTTTAGAGAAAACTGTTATTTCAGTCTTTTTTTCGAACTTTTGTGTTAGTGGTTCAAATGTCAAAAATCCCTTTATTAGGAAAATGGCAAATTTCTTTATTAATGCAAAGGTGACTTGGTTTATCGTTACTGTGACAAACGAAAACACTTTATTTGATGAATCCTTAAAGAAAATTTTAATTAATATCTATCAGGAGAAAAGTTATTGCAAAAATATATGTTGATCCCTAGACACTTTTGATGTGTGTAGGGGAGGGTGGGGTGATTACGGACAGCGGGTAACTGCGGACACTGCCTTACCGGCTGATACAGCCCTCCCCGCGTCCCGCAACACGACTCGCGCTATTGTATCCGCCATCTTTAGTGTCCGGAAAGTTGTCAACACGGGAGCCCGCGCACGCGATTCAAGGTAAGATCAATTAATTATTTTTATGTATTTTCTTGTAATTTTCGATGATTTTCAGTAGCGTGCATACGCTATGATATTTGTTTTGAGTAAAAACTGTATTCGTTACGTGTTAAGGTGTCTTTCACCTATATTAATGTGCAATTATAATCTACAAAAGTTATTACCTAACCTAAAATTGTTTTGCTATAAAATGTCGAAAGGCAGATGGGGTAATTGCAGATATTATTTTGGGATAAATACGGACGTCCGTATTTACCCCAAAGGGGTTGGGGAGAATACGGACACATGACTTATTATATCTGTATCATGTTTCAGATGCCTCGAGTATACAAACGGAAGACTGAAAAAAAGTACACATTCGAAACTTTAAAAATTGCTATAAGGGAGATTCAAGAAAAGAATTTAAGTTTTAGAAAAGCCGCGGAAAAGTATAACGTACCTCGAGCTACATTGTTAGATCAGGTCAGAAAGTCTGCTGAAGATGTCATAGATCCAAAACGCGGTAAGAAACCAATCTTTAATGAATCTCAAGAGCAAGAGCTCGTTCAGTTCATTCTGAAGTCGTGTAGAAATTATTTCGGAATAACTCCAATCATGCTTAGAAAAGTCGCATTCGATTTTGCAACAGCTAATGGCTTGGCACACAATTTTAACAAAGCAACGGGTATAGCTGGAATAGAGTGGTATTACTCGTTTATGTCAAGGCATCCTGAAATATCACTCCGTAAGCCGGAAGCGACATCTTTAAGTCGAATCACTGCGTTTAATGAAGAAGAAGTAGATATTTTTTTTACTAACCTGACACACTTGATGTCCAAACAAAATTTCAGGCCAGATGCCATTAAATATTGAAAAAGCAATAAATGGCTTCAGAGCTGCGGGGATTTGCCCATTGGATAAGGAAATTTTTAGAACGACTTTTGACAACTTGATGCACAGTGACATGGAACCACAATCGGGCTCCAACATCAGATCTAGTGCCTTAAATTTGAATGACTCTTGTACTCACAATGAACCGGAAGTCCCCAATTTAAATGAGCAGACAAATGCCAGTACAACCAAAGCACAAAGGCCAAATAATTCCGAAGCCCAACCCCGAATCACAAATCAAGTTGAAATTCAATCTGTTGCACATGCTAATATTGATGATTCTATCAATGACACCAGTCATCCAGATGTTTCAACAGAGCAACATTGTAACCCACCACCTTCTGTACCATTACAGGACATAGTTAATATACCGACCATAAAGCGTTTAAGCAAGAAAACAAATCGGAAAAAGAAACATTCCATAATTGTTACTGATACTCCAGAAAAAATTGAATTAGAGAAGAAAGAACTGAAGAAGGTAGAAAAAAGAATCAAACAAGAAGCAGGAGTAAGAAAAGGAAAGAAGACGATAACTAAACAGAAAAAAGCTACGAAACCAAAGAAAAAGTCGCAGAGGGGTGGGTGTGAGAAATCTTAGAAATTTTGAAGATAATGCAGATGACACAGAATATTTCTGTATATTTTGTAATGAAAAATATTATTCGCCCCCCACTGTAGATTGGGTAATGTGCATAGTGTGTCAGAATTGGGCACATGAAAATTGCACAAGCGGAAGCTCAAGCCGAGGCTATATTTGCGACTTGTGTAAGGAGAAATAGACTGACCGCAATTACCCCACCCGCTGTCCGTATTTACCTGGAAGGCGTCGGGTAAATGCGGACAGCAAGGGTTTTGTTTTTTTGAGAAAAAATATAAATGTTGATTTGATACTAATAATTTTATATGTTAATTTTGTAAGGTAATAAGCAAAGTTTATTAATTAATAAAAACGAACTGATTAGCTTTAAAAGTTTATGTTTTATTAAAGTATTCCCTTAAGTGTCCGCAATATCCCCACTCTCCCCTATATATACCCACCACCAATATACAAATAATTTACATTTTTTTTTACATAATTTGGCACACAGATAAACCATTATCTGGTTAAAAGTAAGTATCCTATGTGCTGGTTCGCACATAGGATACTTACTCTTAACCAAAGTCCTCTACAACAAAATTTTCCAAAATATCTTTTTTTAATTTTCTTTTAAATATATGTTGACTTCTACATTTTTCTATTGTTGGGCTTATGTTGTTAAATATTCTTGGTATAATATATTTCCGAGTTCTTTGGCCAAAATAGTTATTAGCAATATGCTCAACATATCTTTTTTGTGTCGTTTCCCTGAGTTGACGTATTGGTATTTGACATTTTTTAAATTTATCACAGCCATATTCATTTATAGACATTACATATTTAATTTTTTCATGAACTGGTAGAATTTGTAACTGGAAGACATCGTCGTGCGTTTCGAAGAGGATCTAGCAAATATCTCGATAGGTAAAAATCTATACTATACTAGCGGACCCGACAGACATTGTCCTGTCTACACGTCTTTGTGAATCTAAACCATTCTCAGATCCCCTTGAACACACACAAAAAATTTCATCAAAATCGGTCCAGTCGTTTAAGAGCAGTTCAGTGACATACACACTCACAGAAGAATTATATATATAAAGACTAGCTGACCCAGCCTTCGTACCGCCCTAAAAAAATAGGGGTTGTCCAGCGGACAAAATTGTGAATCTAAACCATTCTCAGATCCCCTTGAACACACACAAAAAATTTCATCAAAATCGGCCCAGTCGTTTAAGAGAAGTTCAGTGACATACACACTCACAGAAGAATTATATATATAAAGATTGTGAAACTTTGATATATATATTTTTTTTGTGTTACTTTACTATTTTGTACAATGATATTTTATTATATAATATTCAGTATTAATAAGTATGTTGGTATCATAATCATCCATAATAGAATAATTAAAACAAAAAATATACTATAACAATGAACCTAAAACTAAACACTTTAAAAAAAATAACTAAAATACATTATTAAAAGGAGTCCCTTTAGGCAAGGTTCCAAAGATACTGGCAGCGTTCCCCCTTTGGATAGCTAGACTAATTCTTTGTCCGAGGTAGCTGCCAGCTCTTCGGTCTCCTGTGATGTCGACTAATCTTTTTGCTATTTCTTTAATAAGCCTTATAGCGCTAGGACCCCACGGACCAAG